GTCAAGGGCCCCTTATTTGTGAGATGCTACTCTGAAACCTGATCATTTCCTGAGATTTGCTGCGCACCTTTTATTTTCACTTGAGTTCAGTGAGGGTTGGGGATGCTTTAGTACCTCACAGGATCAGGTTCTAAAAGAGTAACACTAGAGTTCTCTGCATCACTTTCCAGCTCAGCAGATCTTTCATACTGAAATCAGCTATTATGTTGAACAATGCCATATTTTCTTTTGTGATACCATTGTGAGCTGTCCATTTAACAATGCCACGATTCATATTATGTAGAGAGTAGCACACAGATAACAGTGAGAAATAAATCTATATTCTGGGGTTCTAATGACATAACGGAAATCATGAGAGCAAAGCTCAAGTGATTTGTTCTGTCATCTGATCTTCCAAATGTATGTGTAGCCTGCTTGCAAAACTGCCTAAGCAGCCCAGGCATAAAATCTACTTGGCTGTCCTATACCTTAATTTTGATGATGATAGAAAAAAATCTCATTATATATTATCCACCAGTCAGAAGGAAAATACTAGCCATTGGTGAGCATAATTTTGCAAAGCTGTTATCTAGTTTTGTATTGCACAGTTTTCCTTCTTTGCATTTTTGTACTATTAACAGATGTTTTCTTCTTTGTTCCTACAGAGAGCACATGACACGTCTCCTATAAATGCCTACACTGATGTCAAGATTTTACCTTCTCACTTAAAAATATGAAATAAAAAGATAACTAAATAGGAATAAAAACTCCCATAACATTTCATGAAAAGTAAAGGTAACACCAATGAGGCTGCAGATAAACAATGTTAAAATTAACACCCGCTCCGAAGCTTTCCCATATTCAAAAGCTGCTGTTATAATTTTTCGCTATCAAAAGACATGGGACCATGTTACCACACTTTGGAGTTATAAATGAAAGAAAATTATCAAGCCACATCCAGACTGATGGATCTGGATTTGATGTGGCTAAAACCAAGCTAATTCCTGGCCTTTTTACTTGTAATTGAGATGACATCACATTGCTGGGAGGTACTTAAATTTCAATGCACATGAAAAAGCTAATGCCAGCAGTGTGAAATACTTGTAGAATGGCTATTCTTTTAGAAGCTCTACAACAGGAGCCTGGAACATGTTGTGCTGTGTTGTGGCCTAGGGTTTAGTCGGTGTGATCCATGTGTTTATACATATAGACTTCCTGAGCTGGCAATGGTCTATTCACAGTCTTCAACACACACAATTTCCACTCCTGTATGCATAGATTGTGGAAGCGTTTCTGTATCAGATTGGTTCCAGACAGAACATCCGAGTATATTACCATTATAGTGCAAACATCAAAGCTGTTTGGTTGGTTTATACAGCATGGGTTTAATCCAAAAGCCAGTTAAAGGCGACAGAAAGATTCTCAATAACTTCAGTGGGCTTTGGACCAGGTGATATATCTGTCCTCTTGGGTGAAAGAAAGCATTGTTTATGATTCAAGGCAACTGTTTAATGCAGTATTTTAATTCACATTAATAAATTATGACATATGGTAAGAGCTGGAAAGGATCTCTCCATTACACTCGAGAACATTAGAAGGTATATACAGCTGAAGAGCTTGTCAGAAACCTATATCCCCAAGGATTCATGGTCTCTGGGTTAGGGGACATATGTTCCCCCACAGCAACAAGATTTAGCCAAGAATAGCAAGAGTGAGCAAACTTCCCGTGCTCAGAAATGCAATTAAAAGCACCAGAACATATTGCAGCATTCTGTGTTGAACCATCTAAACCTGTAACTGTAGGATACCTCTGTGCCAGACAATGTCTAGCAATGTGGTTCGACTCTATCACCATTCCCATTTCCCCACATACAGCTCCCTCAAGCTAAGGTGAGATTTGGCAATATTTTAGCAACACAGAAAATATTAAAAGTTATATATTTATGGGTCTGCTTTCCCACAAGCTATTGGAGGGGGAAAAACATGACTATTCAGCTTTTAAAATTAGATAATTAGATGGGAACTAGAAATGAAGAGAAATCATGTTATTTTAGTTAGTATTTGTTTTGTACTTCCAGGGGAACTTTTGGCAAAATGTTTAACAAGCTCTTAGTTAAAATACTTGATTGTCATATATACATAGATGTTTCAGATATATAGAGATATGCACATAAACACTTTGGATCCCATTAAGAAAATGTACTTGGCCCCAATTTTCATATGAGAAATCTGAGTTTTAGTGAGGTAATTGTTGCCTTTTAAGTTCTCATTGATACTAGTACAATACACTTCCTGTTATCATATGTTATTCATGTGCAGTATTTGGTTAAGTACCTGAACTAAATATGCAAAATGAGAGGACTACATAACTCCTGTGGTATATCTGACAAAATATATAGAGAAAATATTGTATATAATTGTTACAAGAGATACTACTGAGCATGACTGGTGCTCTATAAATACACAATGTACTGTGGATAGATAAGTTGAAAACTGGCTAATGTGCATTCATCTGTAAATTAAAAGGAAAGTTTGCTGTTTATTGAGGAAAAGAGAGAAGTTTGGATAAAATTAGATGACTTCCATCCGTATAAAGCGTATTTCTCTGTTGCCATTCCTGGCCATGAATATCTCCATTGTCAGGAATGCAGTCACACCAGTGTAATGCTGGTGTAACAAAGACAAAACTGAAGCCTGGTGCTCAGCATTTTGCAGGACTGAGGCCAAAGCACTACCATTTCCCTGTATGCCTCTGGAATGCCTTCTTCTTGCAAAGGATTCCCATTGTTGCGCTCATTTGGGGGGGCTGAAAGATGGGTAAGCAGCATTCTTCAAGAATGGTGCCAGTATCACTCAATACATGGGTGGTGCTCAAGAAGCAAACTGCTCTCTCCAGATAATCTGCAGATCACAAGTGTTCTGCTTTCCCAGCCCCTTAGCAGTGGCTGAGAGCTATATATCAGATCTCCTGCCACGAAATCTCTGTTGTTTATTTCAGTTTAAATGGACATCCAGACTATATCTCCCCAAATTGTTCTAATAAAGATCCCATTGTTAATTTATGTTAGAAAATATAAAATCACAACATGAATGATAAAGGTGCCCAGCAAAAGGAAAAACTTCCTTAAATTGGGGGGAATTTAAAATATATATTAAATAATTTAATTATCTGTAATAAATATTTCTAGGTTTTAACATATCATATATAATTCACAAAATATTTTATTAATTATATGTTTCAAATATTCTCTTTAGAATGCAAAATACGCTGTTATTCTCAAATGAATAGTTACATTTTTAATTTAAAAGAAGCTAATAAAAGAATATTTACAGAGACAAATAGTGATTTTGAAATGCTATCTTGACAATTATCAGAAAAGGCCAAAAAATATCCATCCTCTCTGCTGATTGGCTATTGAAATTGTATGGTTGTGGTTTATTAATATTTTCTTAACACTAAAAATTGAGACAATCTTGGTATGAGAATGAGATTTTTTTAAAAATTACACTAAAATAATCTGTTTTATAATAGCATTTAGTGCTTATGTGGTGTTTCACAGACATTAACTCTGTAAAAGCCTGACCCACACCTTTTGGGGCAGGAAGGTAAGTATTATCATCTCCCCCATTTTATAGATGAAGAGACTTAGGTTTCCGTTCTCTCTCTCTGCAAGTAACCTGCCTTCAGAGAAGCAACTCTGAATTTTTAAACTTCCAGAGTTTCATACACATTCTCACATTTCAGTAGAGAGAATTGCCTCCTTGCCTCATGGATCACCTGCCTATGCCCCTTGCCTCCCAACCCCCACTGGGTTTGAGTGTAGAGCATCTGAGAGCAGAAGGCTTTTCTATACACCTGTGAGGAAAAGAGGGGAACATGTTCCAGAGGCAGAAATACCACTTCCATGGCACATGCAATCGCAGAGGGAGCACTGGATGAATGAATTTGTCCAAAGCCAGAAAAGGAAGTAGTGGCAATGTTGGGATTAAAAATCAACAACTGTTTGGCTTCAACACGGAAGCCCATTTTATCCCACTGATTGTTATGCAGATTCCCCCCTTGAAATAAATGGGGAGTTCTGTTTAAAAATTGATGGCAAAATATAGCTCTGGACCTCACAGGGTATGTCTACACTGCAGCTGGGAGCATGCTTCCGAGCTGGGTAGACAGACTCACTCTAACTGGAGTAGACCTAGGCCATTTCTGCCTTCCACAATCAGGTGCACTAAAAATAGCAGTGCAGATGTTGTAATACGGGTGGCAGCACAGGCTAGCTGCCCAAGTACAAGCCTGCCTGCTCCCGGAGTCCATGCTCAGGTGGCTAGCCTGTGCCACAGTGTCCACACTGCTATTTTGAGTGTGCTAGCTGGAGCGGCACTGGCGTGCATCTGTTTACCTGTGCCGGGAGGCACGCCGCCAGCTGCAGTGTGGACATACCCACAGAGTCTTTATACTTGAGTGTTTTCCAAAGCAATGAAGGGAACAACCATGATTGTTGTTGAATTTGGTCTGTATAATAAGCAGTTTGTGACCATTTTATTATGTGGCATTGGTACCATTCTCATGGAAAGCTGCTTGCCAGTCCATCAGTCTGAAGGCTGTGTGCAGGAATGGGAGCTTTCTGCACAAGGAACTGGGCTCTGTCACAGAACAGCAATAATTAACATTGTCGTGGTAATTTTCTGGTGTGGTTTGCACTGATTTAAAATATTAGAATATAATGTCTCCATTTGAATAATTGTTTTTGTCTTGTAACATGCAGCTGAATTATAGTACAAGTGTCACTACATTGAATGTTTTTATTGTTTCTTACAATAAAGTCATGTTTAAAGTTCTGCAAACATGAATTTAAGTATAGTTTTTAAAAGATGAGTATAGCAAAATAAGCTGATAATTGCCATGATCATTTGAACTTTACCAGTAATGTCCAGGTATGTTTAGGAACATATTGCATGAGACAGTATGTACCTTTGAGAAATGTCTACACACAAGCTTTCATAAACCTTTATTCTGTCTTTAGAATTTGGAATGATGGGAGATCACACAATTAAAAGTCAGCGACCTCGATCTGTTCATGAGAAAAGGGTCCCTCAGGAACAAGCTGATGCTGCTAAATTTATGGCACAAACTGGTAATACATTAGTTACATTTTTCTATTTACTGTTGTTAATTTTAGCAAAGCCACTGCATGTTCCATAATCTTTTACTGCATACCTGTCAGTTTTCTAAGCTGATATTTTTGAACCATTTATTTATTTATTTTTCCACCAGTTAAAGTCCATAAATAAAGTAGCTGAGAATTAGGTAGAACATATAAAAACATGCACTGTGAATGTGGATACTGAATGATTTAATATGAACATGAGTTTATTTAATAATTAAAGCAGGCTTACACATGAAAGACACAGTCCAGTTTAGAGATTAACTGTAGCTTACAGTGACCATATATCAACATTTTTCAAAAAATAAATGTTAAGGAAGTGCATTAGAATTTTAATATAAATAGAAGAACTGAAATCTAATTCCTTCTTTGGGCATTTATCATATTAATTAATTATCAGGACACTTTAATGTGCATGTATTCAGCACTTAGTGTCCTTGGCCCAACATAATACTCTATTCTCTAGATTCCAGATTCATAATTGCTAAATATATAAATAGGTATGAATTCGATGTGCAAATTATCTAACAGTTTTATGTCTAAGACATATTTTCCAAATTTATTTTAGCAACTGCACCTTCTTCAGATAAAGAGAACAAAATATTACATAAAGAATCTACACCCAGCTCTTGTCTCTAAAATGTCAGCATTTACCAACAATTACCACGCAATAGTATCTATGGATCCAATCCAGCTCCCTTTGAGGTCAAAATAAAGACTCCCATAGACTTCATAAATGGTGGATCAGGTCCTAAGATACTGAAGTCCTGTCCTGTTCTAATTATAGGGTAATAACAGTGCATCTCAGAAATTACTGCATCAGAAACCTTGTGCCACATAACCATTATATGGATTTGAAACGATGTACACTGTATTCCATAGATACTAACCTAGAAGATTGCCTGCATCTTTCCTACATAATGCTTCAAGTTTAATATTCATTTTAGTAAATGAGCTATGATTGCATTTAGTGAAGTTGCATGTTGACTTTCTTAGATGTAGAATGCTTTACACTTTTAACAGATTTTCAGAAGTCGTATAGTAAGTAATGTAAACTTAAATATATAAAAATCTATAGTGATCCAGTTTTATAAAGATTTTAGAAGACAAATGGTGCTGCCCTCCCACCAGTACCTGGGGCTGCTTTTATGCATGAACCCAATCGACAATACTGGAAGATGCCTGCAGTTATATGTCAGGCATAAATGGATGAAATTATCTCAGAAGTTCCTCGGTTTCATACAGTTGTTGTTTAGGCACAACGGGAGCTTATTACTTACATATTTAGTTCAGACTGATGATGTCAGTTTCTTATTATTTAGACTAACCCTTTTGATTTAATGCGGTTTCTTGTTTTCTTATAATTACCCTAAAAGATTTCATAATCTGTTTTAGCTTCTTATATAAACTAACTGTAAACCTACTTCTGAACAGTAACTATGCATCCATTTGCAGTGCATTTTCTATGGCTTTTAGAGCATTGCCTTTCAAATGGACCACCAATACCATCTACTCTGGAAATATGGTGACAACAAAGTGGGATATGGAAATTCAGAATTATACAGGCTTGGTTTCCAAGATCCTGTTTAGAAAGCATGTGAGATGCGTGTGCAGAGAATACAAATTCATATGCATAGTTCTAAGGACATATCTTTTGCATACTGTAGGGAACTCATTTTAAATAATACTGTGTTCTTTTTTAGAACAGTGTTACTAATTTCCATCTTTTCATTTTGATTTTCCTTTGTAGTGATCATTTCATCTTTTCACTGTAATGTATTCATTTTCTTGTGATAAAACTAATGTGATATCTTCTTAAACAAAACCACAGGGGTTTACTAGCATACTTCATAGATTTACTCATACACTAAGAAAACAAGTGGAGTTTTGAAAATGGAAATCATATAGATATCTTTCGGTTTATATCATTTCTTGTCATTTTAGTCTGTTTAATTATTTTTATGTAATAAAGAATAATTAAAAATAACTATCGTGAAACTGTAAGTATGCCTTTTTCATGCAATGAAAGGGCAAAGACACAGCAGAAGTACAAATTGCATTCTAGGAAACACATATTGTGCTGGAAAAATAGTTATGAGAAACGTTCAGTACTGTTTTGCGAAGACTGGAGCCAATCCCTTTGACACCAATAGGGTTGGATCAGGCCTAATATGTAGTACTAAAAGAAAGTGTTTGTATGTGTAGCTGTGTACAACATAAAAAAGGCAGTACAACATAAACAAATTCAAATAAATAATTTCATAATTTAATTATCCTATATTCGTTATTTTTGTGTTCCTGAAATTATCCTTTCTTTCAATGTTATGGGATTTAGAATATATAAATGCAGGTAAGTGTTTCACAGATCAATGAGACATTCCAGACAGAATTTTCTCCTACAGGACTAGCAACTCAGGAAAAAGAAGGATTGTTAGTTTGTTACCACTTAATTTGAGGTCATAGGTTTAACATGGTAGGTATAAAGTAACTAACAGCTAAAGAGAAAACAGAGCATAGACTTTTTCTGTAATATTCAGAAGGAAAACAGAAAAAAAAACAGGAAGTGCAAACTGGGATTAGGCAGAGAGTCAAAGCCTGGGCTTAATCTAGAAAAATTTTAGTCCATATTTGACAATATAAAGGACATATTTTTCTAGCAATTACATAATGTGTCTTCCCCATCTGAAAAATATTATCAAATAAATCATGCTTCTTTGAGCAAGGATTAGTAAAAAGTAACATGATTGTGCAAAAGGAATGGAATATTTTGTGAGACAAATCTGTTCTTTATGTTTCCTAGTCTCACAAAAATTGCCATTCCTTGTGCATGACATGTCACGTTACTTCTTAGAGCTTCAATCCAGCAACCACGTAAGCATGTGCTAAACTCTGAACATCTAAGTAGTCCCATTGCCTTCAAAGGGACTACTTGCATGCTTAAAATTCATCACATGCTTAAGTGTTTTCTAGATTGGGGCCAAGATATACTGTTGTGTGGTACATAGATTCTTCAAGGCTTTCAATAAACAGTTTTCATCTTAAAACTTACTAAATACAATCACATTCCTTAATACTAAACTGCTACTTTTGTCCATTACATCGAGAAGGTTAAAAACAACTTTCCCCAGTATAAGTTATCCAATAGTTTTAATTTTTTAATACTGCATTCTGCATTTTAATACCAGTGCACTGTCACCAGGTCTGTGTGGGATAATGGGTAATTTGCATTCAGTATATAAGACTATTTTACATAATGAGGAACAAATTGAGAAGCATTGCTTTGACTTTTTGTGCTGTTTGACCTTTCATCTAAACCACTTTTACAAAGGCAAAGTCAAGTGTCAAAGTGGTAGGAAAAGCACGAAACAAAATGAAGGATTTGCCTGGAATAGAAGTGCTACTACAATAAGTTCTTTTACTACATTCTTCACAGGGACTATAGCGTATATTGTATAATTCTAACTTTTACAGTTACTGGTTGCTTATAGAATAGTCATACCTACTACATTACTTCCTCTGATCTCAACGCAAGTCATGTAATAGGCTAATCAAAATCATAAATGACACACAAGAGAGATTATTAAACAATAAACATGCTTAATTTTCTACTTGATCCTTGTAACAAATAAGTGTAATGCTTGCAAGATTCACATTTTGTGAGCTTTCACACCTTAATAAACCTTAAGTAATTGTCATTATTAATAGATGTTTTTGCAATGTTCTACAATTTTATGAAAGGCTAGAGGATTTGTATGTTTTAATTCTAAACTGTTCTGGCTTGATACTCAGTAAGTGGCACATTGTGCTGTGCTTGGTTTCTGGGAGGCTTTGAATATCCTTAGGATTCCTGTTTAATGGAGTAGTGGAGACCAGACATGCGGCAAAAGTGGTGGGCTTGCTTTGTGGAGAGAAAGGGGCAGGCTGAATGCCCTGCTACAAGAGCCTGGTTTCTGGACAAATCACTATATGACATTTACAGTAGTCAAGGAAGACACTATCTGAGTCTTCCTGGCCGCAGAGTTTTTGTGATTGCTGCTGTGGGCAAAACCTTGGAAGAATAGATAAAGATAGAGGGATACAAACAAGATTTTTAATTTTTAATAATTACTTCAAGATAAAAGATCATGGAATGAAATTGATTTTTAAATATAAGTTCCAGTTTGTTTCAGAAGGGACTTAGGTTTAAAATCAATGGCCTGATAAGGTCCATGGCATTGTATTTTACAGTTAGCTGAATACGATTCCATGATTACTTACAGAAATCGTTCAATGAATTTGCTTCAGCCAGGTTCATACTCTTTCTGTATTTTCCTAGCATGAATGCCTTCAGATAAAGAATTTCAGAGACAAAAGTGAAAATGAATTTTAAATACCCTTGCCCAAGTAGTCATACCAGAATGTTTGTGCACGCATCAGATCAGGGAACAGAAGTAATACCGTGTGGTAGATTTCACCACTAACAACAAATGACTCAGCTCTAATAGGAAATATTCACAAATCAGACCCGATTTTGTCACCGATGCTCATATTGAGCACTACCTTGTGCTAAGTAATCCTATTCATTTTAATATGATTGCTCAAAGACTAAGGTAGTACACGTTATGAGTAAGAATAGGAGACTCTTGTTTTTGGTGATAATCCATAGAATAAAAAAAAGTCAGATATTTTTAAATAACAAATGCATTTGAAGATATTGCAATCTCCTTATACATATTCTTTGAGCAGAAATAGCAGATATATTTGTTGGCTAAGTAATTCACTGTAAATTATTTGTTCTATTAAGTTATGACTACATAACTCCTTTGAAAATAGCAGTAATTACTGTATGCAGTAACAGTTTCTAGAGCAGCAAACAGTTTAGGTCATCCCCATATCAAAGGCTAGTAATGAAGCACTATGATGAAATATTAAATCAAAGTTCTTAGCCCACCATTCAGCTTAAACAGTAAAGTGCTGAAAGATTCTTTTTTGTTTATGGGTAAAATCAGAAGGTCAGGAATCTTCTCTCAAATGCTGCTGTCACCCAAAGGGAATTCAATACTTTCCAGTTTGTTTTGTTTTTAAAAATTTGACTCTGCTGTCATCATTCCTTAAACTATCATCTAGTTTCCTTCATTCTGGAGAGATAAATACAATCAGTGAAAAATAAATAATTTTTAGCTATGAAAAATTCGACTTTTCTGTTGTTTTCATGTGCTAAGGGCAGTATTGTTTCTGCAAAGGAAGCTGTAAATATGCCACGTGGTCAAATTGGTTTTTCTCCAGCTTTTAAGTGTGTTTGTTTTCTATTCATTGAACATTTTTCAAAGGTGCTTTCTTTCCATTAAGTTTTAAGTTTATTTTAGTTTGGTTTATTTGTCTTTAAATTATACCTGCATGCCATAATAAACTTTGGCAAACAAAAATCTTTATTAATACTCATAACAGTATTCATGTTTGTTTGTTGTCTTGAATACAGGTGAATCTGGTGTTGAAGAGTGGGCCCAATGGAGCACATGTTCAGTTACTTGTGGTCAAGGGTCGCAGGTGCGAACCAGAACTTGTGTATCACCTTACGGGACACACTGCAGCGGCCCTTTAAGAGAATCAAGGGTTTGCAATAACACTGCCCTCTGTCCAGGTAGTGTTAGCAGCCAATCAATAAAATTATGGATGTTATTGAACTGTATAATGCTAAGAATTTCAAACTATACCTTTTTCTTTAAACATGAATTGCATAGAAGCACTTTAATTAGAATGGAAATTGTACTTCTTATTCATCTGTGAACTTTTATTTTGTAAGTGATTATTTCCTGTTTCAGAACAGCCAAGGAACTGAAGAAGAATACTTTTTTCCTTCAGTTCCAGATTTTTTAAAAAAATCCTTGTATCATCCTTTTTTTGCTTGTAGGTTTTCTGTATTCTAGATAAAGGAGATGGGGAAAGGCACAATACAGATTGCACTTTTATGGGAAGAAATCCTGAACACCAACACACTAAGTAAATGTAAAAACTCCACTGATCAGCAGTGGTGGTGAAGTTAACATATCATCAGATGCTGCATTTGTTTAGCCATTTAGTTTGCTATGGCCTGAATGATGAGAATCATTCATTAGATCATGAGAATGCCCCTTGTGGAATTTCCTCTACATTCTTCTGTCAAGGAGGGGTAAGATTTACCCATCACATGAAAAAAAAAACCCAAGAGTCTGGCCAGCAAGATCCCTGATTCCATGAGCATACAACATCAGGCACATGGCCACCTGTATAGAAGCCTTATACTTCCACTACAATTCTGGACTTCCTGCAGTAATACTCATGCTCTATTGGCTGTCATTGCCTTTGGGGTATGTCTTATAAGGGGTGGGATGCAGCAGAAAAAGAATAGAACTATAGAATAGACTATATTATTTTTTCTATGAAATCTTTGCAGTCAAAGACTTATGTTCTTCCCTCCAGATACATGCATTCTCTAACCTTCCTGCAACACAGGAGCCCAGGACTACAGAGAGCTGTCTGCAGGTTATGAGGAAAGGCAATTGATTCTTCCCTTCCAAGTAGGGAAGTGGGACAGATCCAGGCAGAGAGCATACTGGGGCCCTACGTAACTGGATAATGATTTGTTGACTCAGTCTTCTACAGTTATCTTGTGTTAAAGACTTGCAGTTTCACCCTGGTAGAGGGGACATGTCAATGGTGGTTATTCCTATACAGTTTGTATATCAATTTCTAAAATGTTTTGGGAACTTTTGAGATGAAAGGCATTATAAAAGCACAAAACAGCTTATCCGGTAAACAACTAATTTAATGAGAATTATTGTCAACCTTTGATAATTTTACACTATGTTCTAGATAGAAAATTCCATATGAATTGCCCAATATTTTATGATGTAGGAACCCCAGAACAAGGATGGAATGGACCATTTTATATGTGTCCATACAAGAATACCTATTATTTCCAGGAGAGATTAGGATAGCTCATTAAAGAACAAAGGGTGGTATACATTGTGTAAGAACGTCTCTTGATTTAAAAATAGCAAAATATGAAGGAAATAATAGCAATCTACAAAAAACAATCATAAGTCTATTTAAAGAGCCCCTTTTGAACTGCATGCACGCACATAGCCCAGAGCTCAGATTTCTGACCACTACCATGGTCCTTCCAGCACTACCTGAAAACTAATGTGTAACCTCCCTGCAACTGTTCTGTTATTTTCTAGGATAAGTTTATATGTAGTCTCTCTTCTCAAGAGTCAAAACCCTTCTCATTCAAAAACCAAACCAAACAACCCACCATTATTACCATGTGATGCAAAAGTCAAGTAATTTATCACCCAAGTGCACAAAAATTATTCTTAAAGAATGTGATTTTAACACACTGTAAAAAGATACACACACAAAATGACCACCTAATTCTTCAACAACATTTTCCAGAGTAACCAAGGCTTCCCACCTCTTGAATTCCAGCCTCTGGCCATAGCTTTATTATTAGGACTTCCTATATCCAGATACCCGTGATGGGTAATGGTTCCCAGCTGTCTCTAGCTATCCTTTGTAGAGGTGAGATGGGAAATGGATTTCCCATTGCTCAAATATTTTTTGAGAGTTGGAAGTTTTTTTCCTATCTCAAAATTGGGATGAAAAGTCAAAAATCTCAAAAATATTAATGAAATGAAAAAAAAAATCTTGTTCCACGTTGGTCAAAATGTTACATTTCAATTTTGACCTCCTGCCCCCCTTTTTAAAATCTTTTTTTAGACTAATTCACTTTAATTTCTTGTAGGACTAATCCTGCAAACATACTCCACATGGCCAAAGCCCTGCACCTGTAGCCCCACTGACTCCAATGACACTCTACATAGCTGTACATGGACACTCTACATGGACTATACAGAGTCCAGCTCAAAACAGCAGTTTGCAGGATCAGAGCCTTAAACCTTTACTTTTCCAGAAAATGACTCTTGAAATGCTCAGATTGCCATACAATTATTAGCATGTTTGAACACCCTCTGTCCTCAATATATTCCCTTTCTCAGGGTTACCCCTGGTTAAAGCAAGACAAAACAGTTTGTTGGCCAGCAAAAGAGAGGGGGATGGGGAAACAAAACCAAAGAAAACACCAACTTGTATATACAGGTACTGACTTGTGTTTCCGATTCCATTCACCTCTACCATCCATGCCAAGCAGTTAGTGGATACTATAATTTAGAACAAGCTTTTGCATCCCAATAAATACTATCTGGATAGCCAACTAACAGCTCCCATGCCTCACGTTCACTTTGATCACAAAAAACATACGAAACATTAACAATACTGTCTTCTGGCTGTATAATCTATGAATGCACAGTCTCCTGGGGAATGCTCATTGCAGAATGTGATCCATCAAAAAAGGCCAGTTTTGAGAGATGTAACAATGTTTCCTCATTAGAAATGTTGCCCCCCAAGAAATAAAAAAGTAATACACAGTGAGGTACCTGGGATGTGCCCAAAGCCCCTATCCATGAGCTTCAGTGCATGGACTCTCCCTCTCCCTCTTAGACTTTTAAATGGCTAATATAGAAAACAACTCACCTCCTGATCGAGGATGGCAGTGCATTTTCAGTCACCATCTCTTTATATCCCCCAAATCCTTCTCCCTGATATCAGTAAAGTACATTTACAAGTACAGTAGTGCTACTATCTTTGGGAGAGCTTTGAGAGTGGTACACACTAGTCCCACTATTATCTGATGGTGAGCTTGGCCACAGACTGGTTTCTTAACATGGGTATTCCAACTATTAGCAAAGCCACTTGACCAGTGATTTCTATGTTTTTTCCTCTGTTGAATGTCATTTCTGTTTATTATTAGCATTGAAACAACACCTTGGGGAATAGTAGTTACTCCCGATATTGAAAAGAGAACTTTTCTAGTTAGTTTATGAAGTAACTATTTTTTAATTCTTTATAATTTCAATAACTAGTCACTTTTGAAAATGTTGGCCAAAATCTAATTTCAGCCAGAGCACTCTTATTTCATTATATGAGGTTGTTAAGCCTTGTGTCGCAGAACATCATTGGCCAAATTATCTTTTCTTCTTTTAACACAGAGTAAAGGAAGGTATCTTAAGATCCAACAAAAACTACCAAAATCTCTTGGAAGGAGGATAACTAGGGTAATCTGATGCCTCCCCTCAAACCTTCCAGAAGTCGCATATGGTGAACACTGTGGATTTGCACTTCAGCATGTTTAAGCCAGGAGATGGTGGGACTAGAGAATAGCCACTCTGCATGAACTATTTTCTCAGCGAACCCAAGGGGAAATACACATATAAACCAACATTGACCCTGTCAACAATTAGTTGGATACCAAATAAAGAAAGATTATAGGGAGCTAGTTTTACCATGGAAGACTTGCTTTTGAACCCACAGTTTCTTTAATATAGGAGATGGACCTAAACCAGAACAGAGAAAAGGTTGGTTTGGCTTTGAACCCTGAGATCCAAACTCAACTATTGTTCTGGCTCTTGGTCAGACTCCAAACCATAAGGAAACTATTTTAGAGTTATGGTTTTGTTGCAGTCAAAATTTTGCAAGAACATTCTTGTAAGATTTTTGGCTCAAGATGCTCGTGCAATAGCTTTGAAGAACAGCTCATGAGAATTCTGCAATTTTGAAATGAAATCTTATGGGGACAATTTACAATATTCTGACATCATCAAATTTAAGACTATCAAGCCTGAACACTAGCCCTAACCCTAATGTATATCAAAAACTGAATAACATTCTCTTAGTCCATATCTACTTAATACTAAGAGCTTTCCCATTTAGTATCTGTTGCAATATAATGAAAATTTACCATTTATTCTTAACTTGACCTGGAAGAATTGGCTTTATATGTTTTGTACTCTTTGAAAAGATCATTGTTTCAGCATGAGCCTCTTGTTCAGCTATAACTGCAGCAAATGAAATTATTCCATTGTTGCTGTTCTTAACAGCCCTCCAGAACCTGAACTGACAAATTGGTTTCTCATGTTCATCTAATCAAAAGAATTTTGATCCTTGGAGTCAGGGCTGGATTGAAAATGTAATGCATTGCCAGTAAAAAAGTGCTTCAAATGCTGTGGTTGAATCATAACATCTCTCCATGAACAGTGCCTGTTGTAGACAGATGAAATATAAAGGCTTAGGCAAAAATATATTTATCAGCTTATTAATTTTCAGAAGCTTTGGGTTTCATCATTTAACTACGTTGTCAAGGTTAATCAAGGTTTTTAAGATTAATAGACTAAAATCTGTCAATTTAACATTCACTTAGAATGCTCCTATTTTTCTGCTAATGCAATGCATATTGATGTAATATTTAGATGAGAAAGTTGATGAAGCTAGCAACTCGAAACATAGGGTATGAAATAATAATGGTATTTTGCAGACCTTTTGTATCTGGCCAACTCAATAAGCTTTCAGCAATAGGGGACTCATGTTGATGAAAAAAAGTAAAATATCTACTTACATGAAGCTAGTCATTTCTTGTCAGAAATTGTCTTCTCTAAAGTTATCTATAAGACTTTCAATCTCAATATATCTTTGAAAAATACACCTTGCTATATTCCTAAGAGAATGAAATTCAAGCTCTCCATGGGTAGAATTCCCATTGACATTGCATATTATTTCATGATTATGTCCAATGGGGCAAATCCAGTCTCCACTCTACTGAGATTCACCTGGTGGTAGAACCAGTGTGGTTTTGCTGCACGAGAACACAAAGGCTTTGACTGGGGTAGCTGAGCAGGGATTTGTGACCCCTGGACAGGAGAGAGCCAGGTCCGTGGAGGTTCCCTAAGGCAATGCTCAAGGGAAAGTGAGGACAAAACCAGAGAATCTGTCACTGCTGATCCTCAGCTCCATACCATGGATGTGTTGGGGCTGTAGCACACCATTCCATCTCCCTAGACACTCCATGGCCTGTTAGGGGGGATTCCCTGCGGAGACAACTGAGGTGTGTGTGATACATACCAAACTTGGTGCTCAGGATGGGTGCTAGGTCCTTGGATTTTATCCGACATATTCTTAGATTAACTAGAATATAACTAAAACATTCTTCGCAAGATTTCTCTCTTTAAAGAGGTTATTCCTCTGGAACTGAGTTTTTACAGAATTTTGCTAATTATTTATAGTGTGCTTTTTATGTGGAATCATCTCAAATTTGACTCAGATTCTTCTTGAAAAAGAAATGCAATGTAAGGGTATCTAGGCTAATATACGATGTATATCAGTTTCTTCTATATTGAAAACAATGAGGAAGAATGCTTGCTATAGCATTCCTTATTTGTTTTGTGAAGTCATTGTTTATATAAAATATTTATGTGTATATATTTATATCATATTATAATCTCAGAAAGTAATTTAAATATTCTGGTCCAAAACTCTGATGTAGAGGAGCATGCATTATTAAATCTGGTCATTCCCCACATATTGTCATATCAGGAAATAATGCAAAACTGAGGCTAACCTGAAGAAAAACATTAGGACCATATCCTGTCATGATACTTGCCATATCCTGTCATGATACTTGCAAGCTGAGGTCCTTAATGTACCAGAGTCACAGACTAAGAAATTACTATATTTTCAAAAGAGACTAGTGATTTTGGCTGTCTGAGCTTTTAGCCACCTGTCTTGAAACACCCAAAATGGATCTGATTTTTTCATGTGCTGACTACCTGTCCACTAAAACTCATACCCCTTTAAAATGTCTCTAGCTGGGCACTCACAATCACTAGTCACTTTGAAAATGTAGGCCATACTTCTTATAATTTTTTCTTTAGTTTAATTGTATTGAGATTAGACTAACTCATAAAAGATCAAATAAAATTTATCAAAGCTCAATGTAGTATATGGAGAATAAGACGTTATTTTAGTCAACTGAATTTCTAAAGCTAATTTGTATATGCTAATAATGCAAACTTCTAAACACTAGGTTTTTTTTTCTGATGTTGGGCAAAATAGTCCCTTTTAGAATGTAGTTGTTTTTATTTTTAATCTTCTATGTTACCGGTGTCGTGTTTGCTTTGTTACAGTACATGGAGTTTGGGAGGAGTGGTCACCTTGGAGCTTGTGTTCATTCACATGTGGTCGAGGCCAAAGAACAAGAACAAGGTCATGTATACCTCCACAGTATGGGGGAAGATCGTGTGATGGACCTGAAACACAACATAAACCTTGCAATATTGCTCTCTGCCCCGGTGAGCTTGTATAGTAACTATTTGCTCAGCTACAGTAATTAAGTGTAGCTTGTTTCTGACTGGCTTTATTATTACGTATTGTGCACTTGAATATTTGATGAGCAAAGTCTTATAGGTAGGAAGTATTATTATCATCTGTTATTGTGGTAGTACCCAAAGGATGCAATCAGGATTGCAACTCCATAGTGCTACGTGCTGTACAGACACACAAAGACAAGGTCCTTTTCTCAAAGAATTTACAATGTAAACTTATCCTGCACTGGGGTGTGCTATCAAGGAGCCCTGTATCCATGTGGAGTCCCATTGATTTCAAACAGATTCTGCATGGTGTGGGATTCTGTGCTAGGGGATCCCAGTGCAGGAAGGACCCCTAAGAAGACAAGCAACATACCAAAGGTAGGAAAAAGGGGAAACTTTCCAAGTGTGTTCATTTTGATTATCCATTATGTACATTTTAAATATACCTTGCTAGGTGGTCTTAATAATAATAAATAAGTACCTTTTTATTTACACACAGTACATGTCACATATTTAGAAATATTAGGATACAAAGATTTTCTTTCTAATTATTTATATTAGTTTATTCACCTGTGCAGAGGGAGGATCAGCACAGATTTATACACCATTTTAATTTCATTTAAAACCTAAGCACTTAAATGGTGCATAGATTTTAAATTGGCCTTTCACACTGAAATAAAATAAAATAACTGACTTTATTACAAGCCACTTTCTTCGTGCAATTTAAAACGTCTGTGGATTGATTGTGATTATTTTTAACTAGTATTTTTACTCTTTACAGAAGTTATATCTGTAAATGAAATGACAAAATTATCTAAATAATTCCATGAGGTTTTGCTTTACAAATACTCTCTCTTAAGCTTTTTCTAAATCAGTTTAATCCTAGGGCCTTCTGCAAAAAAACTATTAAAAGGGGATGGGGCCACTGTAGTGCATGCAGTTCTGGTCATGAGTTTTGAGTGGCATGCAGTACAATGTTGCTCATGGATAAACTTGCTGCAAAGACATGAATCATTGTATCCAGACTTTGAGAAAGGTTTCAGGACTAGAGTGAGACAGGTAGCAATATCACATACATGTCCATAAGTGGAAACTTCCCATCAAAGATGGTGATGTTTGCATTAAAGTCTAAGTTTTGTTGAAAAGTCATTCCCCTTAAGAGGTAACATACCTCAGCCTTCTTCATCGGCCTGACATAGCTTGCCAGCTACCATTCCCCAGAACTGTAACCTGATAATTAGGAGTCAACAGATCTCTTTTATGCTCTGACATCATTTTGTAATCTACAGTTATAGGTGTTTCCCAACACGAGACATGTGGAAAGCCATTTATTTTGCTTTTCTTCGGTATGACAAGATATTATGGAGACATTTGTCCATTAACTCTATGCAATGGTTTGAAATATCTGATTTTCACACCCCATATTTTTGGCAGTGAAAATTGAAATTTATTTGCAAAATTTAAAAATAAATAAAATAAAATGAGAAGAAAACATTGTGTTAATTCAAAAAAATGTTGCCACTTTGAAAATGATAACTTTTCAGACTGTTGCGTTAACAAATAAACAAGAGAGAAATTAAAGACTAGGGCATCAGGTCCCTATAGAATTAGAAAATAGATTCTCCGAGGACCAGACCTGTGACAAGTTTCAATTTTTTGTGCCTCTTTTTTGTGATTTATTTAATTTTGCCAGCTGTTCAGTTTTTTCACACAATCTGGTTCTGGTAACTTGAGCCTTTTGGAAGACACACAAGCTGTCATCACCATTGTGAAATTCACATGGGTCTACACCACTGCTTTCACAGAGAGAAGAACAATATGCGAGCAGGAAGAATGCAACCCTAGCACATTTACATGAGCCTCCAGAAAAGTACATAATATCATATATGAATCTCAACTGAAACTGAGGAAGTGAGAAATACCAAATAGGAGTAGAGACGGTGCTACTATAGTGTGAAATTCACTTCTGTGCTGAGGGAAAACACAAGGAATGTGCCTCCTCCTGAACCCCCAAACATTTAAACTGTCATAGTAGGGTTTATGTTGGACTTATGTGGTGCATAGGAATTTTGCAGGCTCTCTGCACAGGAGTGTATTTCACCCACAGTGATTACATGCCTGTGGATAATTTGCCCTTTCCTGGCATAACAATGCAACATTTAAAAGTAGCGGCTCATTGTTACTTATTGTCTTAAGCAGCAGCTATAATGTGCTTGAACAATATTCAGTACTACAGTCTGAATCATCATGCCTGGCTCTCTGCAAAGGAGCTATTTGATGGTGTATCAGAAGGTGAGTTTACAGTCCCATGCTTCTATTTGCTGCAGGTAATAAGGGCAAATGGGGGTGGTACACCAAGGACAAAGGAGAAAGAGACTGTAGGATAAAAACAATGCAGTAGGGGTCTGACCTATATGGTACTGAGTGCCATCAACTCCCATTAATTTCAAAGGTATACAATTGCTTTCAAAACCTTTAATTTATAATCACAGCTTCACCTGCCTTGCCCTAAATAATAGTACATAGTAATGGGTAACAACGAAGAAAGAGGCATTAAAATGTAGTTTCCATCATATTTTCCTCTTTGGTAAGGCTTCATGATAAAAAGATTTAAAAAAAACAGTTTTCATGCCTGGAGAGGCTTCAGTTTTCTGCTGAATACGTTGCCAGGCTCTACTGTCTGATATAGACTTCTGCCCATAGAAGAGGTGCAGAGCCCTTGTATTAAACAGAACCCTGAAAATAACACTTTACCAAAAACCAGAAGAGTCCTCCTTTGCAAACTATTCACCAGCTGTATCTCATTGGTTTGTGAGACACTGTTTATTTTTACTTTGAGGTCCTGGGAAACCTGTGGTGTCTCAGATGCCACTACATGACTGACAAACTGGCAAAGGTTCATTTTTAATCTCAGTTTTTCACTGTATAGAGTGTAACTTTAGCGCCCTCGTGGCCAAGATGGAGTCTGCTCTGCAGGCAGCTCTGGCCAAGAGAAGGCACGCACAGGAATGCAGTAGGGAAAGTCCCTTCCACCCCAGGGGCACCTGTTCCAACCCTCCCAGAATGAACACACACACACACACCAGAAGAATACAATGAATATAAGAAAGGGAAATGTTTATTTACAGAGGGATGAAAGGAGAAAAACAACAGGGGGAAATATAGGGGGAGCGGTAAAACAGGGTTGCATTCAACACAAGGCCCCACGGGCTGAGTGGTACCACAATCTGAAAGGGCAGACACCAAGCAATGTGCCCTCAAACCGAGGTCAGGAGTCCAGGGAAAAGTTCCAGTCCAGTGGTGAGTCTTGGGTGCTTCTGGTCATCTCCAGCCACTGTTCCCTCTAAGCTGTGTGCGTGTGCGCATGCACACAGATCCTAAACCCCCCACACACGGCGTGCACGAAAATTTGCACAGAAGCACAACAATTTGCACAAAAGACATTTTTTGTGCACACAGCCTGTCAAAAATTAGAGGGAACATTGTCTCTGGCGCCAGTGAACTTTCCCCAACAAACCCCTCCTGTGCCCTCTTCTGCCACTCTCTGCAAAGCTACACAGAGCAACAACCTCCCCACTTAACTAGCTAACAGCATCCCTCCTTGTTCCCAATGCAAAGTCACAAGCCCCAGTAATCACAGCCCCATACAGCTCTGGGCAGCAGTGATATTGGGTCCAGCTCCAGTTTGTCCTTCTTGGGCAATTCCTCCCTGGCACAGTGCTCCTCTTGGCTCCTGTTCTGGGGTATCCCCGGTCAGCCGCTCTGTCCCTCCCAGGCTTTGGGCAGGTTCTTGGTTGCTTCACCAGGGCCTGCTTGCTGCAACGCTTCTCTCTGGAGCTCCAGGCACACATCCCTGTTGCTCTCCCCGCTCTCTCTGCTCCTCTTCCCGCAAACAGCACTTCCTCCTTCTGGAACAATCAGCAATTCCCCCCTCAGGAAAAATATTTAAAGTGGCCGTGCTCTCTAAACCCCAAGGGGGTTACAAGAGAGATACAGATGTATTTAGTTTTAATTTAGTGATTTGACTTTCAATAATTTTGTTTAAGAATTCTGCTTCCTCTACAACTGTTGAGATCACAAGCCCCTAAAACACGGTGCTGCCGTCCCAGCACTGCTTTATTTTTGTGATTTCTCTATCTTGGAGAACTGAAATGCAGACTCTTGAAGTCAGGGTGGGCAGTTGAAGTTACTGATTTACAGCTGTGTTGTTTTTAAGTGTACGTGTACTCGTAAGGCCATATTTTCAAAGAAGGACAATAGGTGAATAATAGGCTATTGCCAGCTAAATTTGTGAATTCGTATTGGGTAATGGTTTGCACAAAGAATAATTGCTGTTAGTCAGTGTGAATGCAGAGTTTTGATTGGCATGTTTAGTAGGTTCACCTGCTCTGGAAATGTGACCCAGTGTATCAGAATACAGTCTGTACAAACAAAACAATCCCACCACAAACATGAAAACACCAATAATGTAAATGCCATTGTTGTAAGTTTAAAGTGATGCTTTCTGGTGCAATTTCTGTCTTAAAAAATAGTTTTCAAAGTGCAGATGAAATTGGTTATGAAAAAACTAACCATTTGTTACTGCATAGATTTGATGGTAATGTTGGCTTGTTTGTCTTTTATGTGTTGCTGTGGTAGTTGATGGACAGTGGCAAGAGTGGAGTTCATGGAGTCAGTGCTCAGTGACGTGTTCCAATGGCACGCAGCAGAGAAGTCGACAGTGCACTGCGGCTGCTCATGGAGGTTCTGAATGCAGAGGTCCTTGGGCTGAAAGCAGAGAGTGCCATAACCCAGAATGTACAGGTAAGTAGGATCCTCTAAGGTGAAATGATTCATGTGGAAAAATCTGACTTAGCGCAACATTCATGTCATTAATTTGCAATTAAAAAGAGATGTAAAGCCCCAATCCTGCCGGCCCGCATCATTTAGGCTCTGATCCTACAACTTCTCTGCATGGGCTGACCCTGTGCCTGTCTGGGTCCCATAGACAGCACTCCGTCTCCTGCACTGATTCATTTCTGGAATTGGGGCCTTAATCCTTTCTCACATAAGAAGCCTGTTGACGACAATGGGATGTCAGTAAAGTTGAAAAAACTGGCCTCTGAAAGGCTGGCATTCCTATGTGTTAGCATTATAAGTATTTCTTTAAAAACAAGTATATTTAGAAATAAAAAGTTGAGAACGAGAAAACAATGCATTTCAAGAAACAAGAAGAAATTGTATATAAAGGAACTAATTCTTGTGTGAGTAAATTATACTTACACTTAGTTTAAGACTGCTTTACTCTGCCAGGGCATGTAAAAATTTGGCCTTTAAATAGCATACGGGGAATTTTTTTTATTTTAAAGCATATTTTATTTTGCTGTTTCTTACATACACATGTATACAATAAGAAAACACAGTACATACAGAGAAAAGAAAAAATACAAAGACAACAACATTCATGTTCAGGCTTCGGAGCAGTAGCTTAACTCAAAGCCTAAGTGCAGTGATTTTTTTTAAACTTGAGTTGTGATTCACTGAGGAACAATTAAAGAAGCCTGATTTTCAGAGGCACCAAGCACCTACACCTGCCACTGACTTTTTTTTTATTTACATGCATGAATAATGTTTGGAGCCTATCTTTAGTGAACAAGTTTGAAAATTCTGGCTTTAATAGTTTCTTACAGTGCAGTCTGTCACAATTCTAATAATGACATTCCTCCAAACAGCTAACGGTCAGTGGAACCAATGGGGTCACTGGAGTGGATGTTCCAAGTCATGTGATGGTGGCTGGGAAAGGCGAATAAGGATTTGTCAAGGTGCAGCTGTGACTGGGCAACAGTGTGAAGGAACTGGTGAGGAAATCAGACGATGCAGTGAACAGAAGTGCCCTGGTGAGAAGCAAATATCAATACTATTATTGTATGTATTTCAGTGTGGTTTCTCACTGACATAAATCACTTTAATATATTATATTTGAGGTAGGATCAATACGTAAAAAGCAATCTTCATAAATGGTCCTACCATGCCCTTGATCCAGACAAGTAATTGCTATTTCTGTCTAGCCCAATGAGTGCTTAAAGGATGAAGTATTTTTTTAAAAATAAAATTATAATGGAAAAAAATGAAGCTCCCAGAAAAACATTTCATAACATAGGTGCAACTGCATTATTTTGGGGGGCATAATTTGTTATAGAAAACATCACTGACAATGCAGCTTCTGAGAAGATTAGGTCTTTTTGGTTTGGTTTGGTTTGGTTTGGTTTGTAATTCACGGATTCAGTCTTCTTCTTTTGTCCTCCACACAAAAGGCCTCTATGTCGTGCAGCTGGGGCATCCAAATGGAATGAAGATAAGGGAGTGAGCGGGGGAGAATGAACTCTACTGTAATGGATAGAATGAATTAATACTGTATGTGAGCAATATATTATAAAAGGAAGGTGGTTAAAATGAAAAGGACGTACATCTTTCCAATTTTACTATACATATTTAAACACATTTTGCAGCATATTTTCTGTTGTCCTGCTCACATATTTAAATCTTCCTGGGTGACACTGAAGAAAAAATGTGGGCTACTACTAAAGTGATGACTAAGCAAAAACAGCTGGTGAATACAAATTTATCTTTCTATATTTATCTGTGTGGAGGCATTGACCTGAAGCAGAATAATCATTACCAGACAAATACAAGAGAACAAACAGGGGCTATGTGGTCTAGTGATTTTATGTGCTAGTCCTTCATGCTGGAAGTCTTGTGTTCTAAATTCTGAAGGCGGTTATGATAAAGTGAATCTAGCAGTCTCTCTCACCCCTGATCAATTCCACTTTGCGGTTCAATGCTTGCATTCTCGGCTCGGGAAACACGGGACTTGAATGCTAGGGACAATGCAGGTCAGGAATTGGCGGGCTTATCAGGTCTGAAACCTGTGTTCTCAAACCCACATATTCCTAAGAAGCCAAATCTGTCCCCTGACACCAATCCCATCCCCAAGAACAGAACTTAAAATATGAAGATAAAACTATGAACTAGAACAACACGTCCCAACAGCAACAAAGGAGTAATTGTAGTTACAAATCTAAAACAATATTTTAGAGTAATTAACTACATGCAAATGTTCTCTTTGGTGTATAGTTTTAATATAATACACATTATTTGAAAAGCAATACAAAATAACTATGTAGTAATCATAAAGAAATACAAATTTTGACATAAAATATAATTTTTCCATAGTAGTCCTGCACAGTACAGTAAAACAGGATTAATGTGAATCTTCTGGATAAGCAGACATTCAGATAAACCAGTCTCGACCTACTAAATATTCTTGAAATCATTTGCATTTGTGGAATTAGAGGTAAAACCATACAGCTACAATCCAATTTTCAAAGGTTGCCACCTGCTGTTAATAAAATATTTTACAAATGTATTTACAAATCAAATGCACTCAGAGCGTTATGTGCTGTTCACTAAATTTGTTTACTGACTTGATTCACCAGATCACAATCAGCATGCTAACAGGAGTCATCATAACTTAAAATGATCAAATGATAATAATAATGATAATAATGACGCAGGAGATTATACACACATTTATAGAAGTTTAACGATAAATTTGACTTAACTGTTTCGAGGCAGAATTACTGTTCATCTCCCAGTATAGCTAAGATTTAAGCAAATATACTGGGAAATGAAAAGAAAAGTCGAGGCTTCAGTACAAGAATGACTCTATACTTACTTGGCCCTTTTTTCTTTCATACATTTTGAAATATAGATTAAAGAAAGTTGCCGAAATCACGAAGGAATGATCATCCTAATCTAGCAGTTTTTTTAATTTAATGTTTCTTTCATAGCCAGTAAACATTGTTCAGAAAAGCAGCACTAAAAATGTTTGTGTCTAATTAGTTTCTCTTTTTATGATAGATGATCATCAAGCATCTGACAGACACAAAAGGCCTGATTCTTCCGTTATTGACATTAGTTTTATGCCAGTGTTACAGCCAGATCTTCTACTTCTGTATATCATTTTTACCAATTTACACAAGCTAAGGATCTGAGAAGGGTGGGAGGGTCAGCTGGGCACCAGTAAAGTGGCAGCTCATCCCCAGAAGGAGCTTTCTGAAGACTTGCAGCCACATGACTGGGCCAATTAGAGAGAAGGGCCCTTCAAATGAGCCAACCATGATCAATGGGAGGGAGAGGGTAGGACAAAGCCCATGCTATTACCGAAGGCAATTCTCATCCACGTGAGCATAAGATGCCATAAGGAAGGGGACACCTTTTCACCATGCTGGCCAGGCTTATAGGGATGCCTCATCTCCCAGTCTAACCAGTGTCCCTTCCCCCCACATCAAGAATGGAAGAGTAATCTAATATATCAGATTTTTGTTAACACATTTCAGAAGTGCATCTTTTTTCAGACAAGATCAGATCACAGGAGCCCATTTTCAAATGATATTTATAAACAACGTAGCCTTCATAAATTTTCGTAGAAAAATATAATGCCCTTTCCTTTTTGATGATATCATAGAATCATAGAAGATCAGGGTTGGAAGGGACCTCAGGAGGTCATCTAGTCCAACCCCCTGCTCAAAGCAGGACCAATCCCCAGTTTTTGCCCCAGTTCCCTAAACGGCCCCCTCAAGGATTGAACTCACAACCCTGGGTTTAGCAGGCCAATGCTCAAACCACTGAGCTATCTTGTGTTCAGTCAGTGTTAATTTTGGTTTTAAGTTAATGGAAGCTCCTATAATGTTTTTTCCACAGTGTTTTTATATTTATGCGTCATTCAGTTTTTACTCAAAACAAATCCATCAAATTCACCACCAAGTGCCTCTTCTAAGTAAGGGAAAAACATAACATATGAATTGCTTTGACTTGATAATTAATGGAAGGGATGACCAATTATTTTCTACATTAACCTAAAGATGACAGAACACAACTGCTTCTACTAAAGAATAGCTAATGCTTTCACACGAAAGATAATAACATAAGAACTGTCATGGTGGGTCAGACCAATTGACCATCTAGCTCAGTACCTGTCTCTGACATTGGCCAGGACCAGAGCTTCAGAGGGAGAATATAGAACAGAGCAATTCTGGAGAGATCCATCCCTATCTTCCTCTCCCTGCAAAAAAAAAGAGATATCAACTTTTTATGATAGCGTATGAGAAAAGGGAAAATATTTTAATATCATTACTTATTTGATGCCAATGCTTTAAGTTTTGTTTAAATGTGGAGATCTGATAAATTATCTCCAGCTATACCATCTTTTTTACAAGATTTGTGAAAACTATGCTTTGTTAGTTTTGTTAGGAGATAGGGCACTGGGCCAGGACCCTGGAGACTTGGGTTCTAGTCTAAGCTCTGCCACTAATCTGCTTTGTAACCTTGGGCAAGTCACTTCACCTCTCTGTACCCCTGTTTTCCCTTCCCATCCTTTGTCTGTTTTGCCGATTTAGATTGTAAATTCTTTGCAGAAAAAAATTACTCTGTGTGTGTAGAGCACCTAGTACAATGGGGCCCCAATCTTGACTAGCGCCTTTAGGTGCTACCATAATACTACTAATAAAATAATACTGAACCAACCTGCACTACTGTCACTATGATCAGTAGGATAAAAATGAATAAAGATATTAATAGGCAAGGTTAGGTTCTAGTTCTTGACTTTAATGATCAACAAATTGTTTTAAGCCATCCCGAATTTAGAAGTGCAGATACAGGACTCAATATTTCAAGATACTGAGTCCCATAAATTCCCACTAAAGTCAGTGGGCAAAATTCCAAACAGGTTGAAGGTGATGACATTTATCAATACATTGATAGGTATAGTTTCACATCAGCTTTTACAACAGACTTTGGATATGCAGTAAAAAAGAATACCACAGAAGACTGCTACAAGAGTTTCCACTGTACCAAGTAACAAATATGTAATAGTGTTTGTAGAATGCTTTGAAAATTATACTGTATACCTGCAAAATAATTACTAGATAAGTTACACTTGGGAAAACTCATGCAATTATTAGAACTGGTCGGGAATTTCATGATGAATCTTTTTTTCCTATTAAACGTAATAGTTTTGAAAAAAAAATTGTTGAGAAGAATTCTCGGGTCCAGGATGGAATTTCTGGTCAAAAAGAGAGATCCACCCACTCCAGAATAGCAATAGCCTGGTGGTTAAGGCTCTGCCTGATTTAGAGGATGAAACATAAGATGGGGTCAGATCAGTGGTCCATCTAGCCCAGTATCCTGTCTTCTGATGGTGGTTGGTGCCAGATGCTTCAGAGGCAATGAACACAACAGAGCAATTATCCTCTGTCATCCAGTCCCAGCTTTTGACAAACAGGGATTGAGGAGCACACAGAGCATCGAGTTGTGTCTCTGACCATCTTGGTTAATAGCCATTGATGGACATATCATCCATGAATTTCTCTAATTCTTTTCTGAACCCCATTATCGTTTTGGCCTTCACAACATCCCCTAACAAAGAGTTTCACAGGTTGATTGTGTGTTGTGTGAAGAAGTACTTCCTTATGTTAGTTTTAAACCTGCTGCCTATTAATTTCATTGGATGACCCCTGGTTCTTACATTATCTGAAAGGGTAAATAATACTTTTCCATTCACATTCTCTCAAGATTTATAGACCTCTCTCATATCCCCCCTTAGTTATCTCCTTGTGTCTCCCACAGTCAAGTGAGTGCCCTAACCACTGGGTTGTTGGTTATTTTGTGGTGGGGGGGAGTGGGGCTCTTCTTTTTTGTTTTGTTTTTTTGTGAAAACATTTGGAATATCTCCATTTTGTTTTGCATTGGAATTAAACTAATTTTCAAAACCTTGAAATTATTCACAAGACAGAATTCTTGTTTACTGGCCAGTCCTAGTAATTATGTATTTATTTCA